TAAGAGTCAGTAGTTCTCGATTTGATGCCCAACATGAAGAAGTTATTTAATTTTTTCCAGCCTATTTTCATCACCTGGAACACCTGGCTGAGAACCCTTAGCTTGAAGAGTTGGGGATGAGTCATAAAATGATAGAGCACTTGAAGTTCCTGGCTAGCTCCTGGCACAGAACAGATCAGTTAATACTGGTAGCTCATGTCATGTTAGTTCAGAAGCATCAGCCCATAGGAAAATCTACTTGGAGCTTTTTCAAACCTAAATGACTTCCTAACTCTCCACTTCAGAGATACTGGGCTTTACAGAGCTGAATCCGTTTACACTTAGCTTACTGATTTATTTTGTGGTAGAAAGAGCCATGTCACCTCTTTGGTTCACAGTCTCCTGTTTTGAAGGAGGGTGCTACATGAGCCCTTCCAACTCCAGAATTCTGGCTCTAGGAGTCCTACTTAATGTGTTACTTGAGCCAGTGTTGGAGGTTACAGTAAGAAAGTCCTAAATATGAATTCTTGGTTAAATGACTTGGTCTTTTGGCTTGTGAAAAGCTTTATGGGTAGACAATATTTACATTTCTTGCTTGTGTTAATTTGCTTCAAAAGCGAAACAAAAATGAAGATGTTAAACTATCAAATCCTCCATGAGCAAAAGACCACCTCTTCTTTGCATTATGTAACTGTGAAGCATTTTTAAAGGCATGAAGAGCTTATAAAAGTTACTGTAGATTAGTATCCCATAGCCAAGTGTGCAGGTTAGGAGCCTATAGTAGCCAATTTTGAGTTGTTAACTATTGTCTGGAATATTAAAGAGGGCAAGAAAGGGTGTTGGTTTCTTATAATGTCAGTCTTGAGCTCTCATAATAGGACTTGCATGAGCATTGACTGAGACACTCCTGGGAACCCATGTAGTCATTAAAAATGGGTTGTGTATTTTGTAGCAGCCCAATTATGACTCTGCAGCTGCTGTCTAGGAAATCAGGGGAGGCCAGTATCTCTTACTGTCTCTGGGGTCCAGAGCAGCTCTGGCTATCTAATACAGATTCTCGGCTCTCAGTGAGTGAACCACAGCTTTCAGGAAAAGTGGGGGATGAGTTGAGGCCACAGCCACCCCAGTGTCCTCCAGGACCCCAGGGGGTGCCTCGCTGCTGTGAAACTGGCTGATGGCTTCAGCACGGGTCAAGAGGATCCTTAGTGTTGTGGCTCAAGAGGATCAGACTATAAAACTTATACTCTTAGATGAACTTTAATTGCTAGTCGTATTTTTAACTCTTAGATGGTAGTTAGGTTTATATTCAGCTTTCACTTTGCTTGCCAGCTGTTTCTTGCTTCAAGCACCAAAAAGTTTTCCCCTGTAGGTTTAAATTTTCTTTTTCTACCATACCATATAGGTGAACATGAAGTATTCTACATTCCTTTATATCTGTAGTAAATCACTGATGTGGCCAGTGGCTTTGTCCCCCCACCCCAAATACTGTACTAGAGAGAAAAAAATCACAACAGACATTTTTGTAGTGCTTATACCTGTGCCAGGTGCTGTCACAGCAGCTTTGCATATGTTAACAAATCCATCTTCATGGCAATCCTATGAGATAGGGACACACATGAAGAAACTGCAACTCTGAGAGGTTAAGTACACGCTCAAAGTCACAAAGCTAGTAAGTGGTAGAGCTAAGATTTGAACCCCAGCATCAGACTCTAGCACTTGTATTCTTCACCATTCTTCTTTGATCTTAAGTCTCCTTGTCTATAAAATGGGATCTAGCTGTGCCTCCTAGACCATAAGTTTGTTCTGGGGATCAAATGAGCCCATGACTGTGACAATATTACAAATAAGAAGAACTGTAGTGACAGCAGGGGAATAAATATTACATATTCTCATGATTGCATCTGAGTTTTCTATGTTTGGATTCTTAGGGATCTGGAGATTTAGCCAGTCAGCTATATGTGGTATGCCCTCCCCTACATCCTCCCTTCAAGTCTTGTTTGTGGGAGCCTGCATCCAGCACACAGTTTACTGCTGTATCACGTGGTCACGTATTGCCTCTTTTGTCCCTTTGAACACATGAGGGTAGGGAAGTATAAGTTTGAGTGGTGCTTGGTGACAGGCTCAGATGAGAGCACCTCAAGCAGGACACAGCCCTCTGGGTCTTGACAATCAAGGAATCTGCTTTCCTCCCACCTTCCTAAACTGCAAATCCTTGTGCAGGGAGAAAGGGAGGCCACAAAGGCCGGGCACGGCAGTATACAAGCCCAGAGGAGATCGACGCACAGATCCAGGCTGAAAAGCAGTTGGCCAGGGTGAGTACATGCCTGTCCAGGCCACTCCAGTGTCCCAGGGTGATGCCCTGCCTCTTTGGCACCCAGAGAGGCTGGGCAAGGACAACACATTCTTAGGAAAAAGCTCATGCCTGAGGTTTGGGAGTTGGGGGCAGCAAGGAGCAGGCAGGAGTCTTAGAACAACCAATGGCAGTAAAGAGGAGAGCTATTCTCTCATTGGATCAGTTAGAGCTTTGTTCACTCAGCAACGGTTGCCTTAGTGGGTCTCTGTTCTTGGTCCTCTGTTCCTGTCTCCCAGGGGCTGTCTACCAGGCCTTGCCCATCTCCAGGTAGAGCTCCCAGGAAGAGCGCTGGCCAAACCCAGCATAACATGATGCTCTGCCTTGCCACACCCCCAGCAGGCAAAGTATCATTTGTTCCCCCAGACCTTGTTCAATGTCATCTCTTCTATGACACTCTCTGGTGCTACCCTCTCTTCCCCACCCCAGTCCAAGCTTAGTAGTTCCCTCTACTCTGTTTCCACAGTGTTTTTTTCTAGCCCACTGTCAGGAAACATATTTTGGTTTCTACATCCCTACCACACCATTAGATTCTCACTTGCATGAGGGCTGAAGGGAGCACAATCAGGCCAGATGAGTGGCACAACTGTATAGTGCCTGTGAGCTCTGAGAATAGAGGCCACATCCAATCAGGGTAGAGGGGAGGAGGGCTTGTTTGGAGGAGGGGCTGGCAGCTGAGCAAGACCTTGGAGAATGTTGGCAAGTGCTGAGGGGGGAAATGACATATACTGTTTTTGTAAGGGATCTTTTTGGTGGGGAGGGAAGAAAGGTAGTGGGAAGTGACATGCATGGTGTTGTCTTGGAAAGTTGGTGTAGCAGGGCATCTGCATGGGCAGGTTGGAGTGGCTGGCCTGCCACTGACTGTGGGAATGGAAAGCAGGGGAGTACTTGCTCAGGAAAGTGAGTACGATTTGGTAGCTGCATATGGCAGTTAGGGGAGTAGGAGGGGAGCTGAACAGGACTGTGGTTTCCAGCCCCATGGCTGAGTCCTTCTGATCCTGGGAGATGAGGTACCTGGGCTATAAAAGGGAACAGGGCATTTGTGTCTGTGTGAGGGGCTTGCTGGGCTGTAGGAATGGCTTCCAGGCTATGTAAGCAAGTGGATAGGCTGCCTCTGATACAGGTGCCCCACTGGGGGGCCAGGGTCTCAGAGTAGGACCCTTGTCATCCTCAGTCCTAGTCTTCTGGGGCTTAATTTCTCACGGTCCACAGTCTGGGGGTGATGGGGGCAGGGGTCACAGTCTTGGGGGTTTGTTTTGCATTTTTGATTCTGCAGGTTGTCCATTTCTGAAATAGGAAGAAGAGGAACAAGAAGAAGGAGGAGATGGGGCTGCAGGAGATCCCAAAAAGGAGAAGAAATCACTAGAATCCGATGAGAGCGAGGATGAAGAAGATGATTACCAGGTACTGAGTTTGGTGGAGGCCTGGGACCTGGACTCACTCATTCAACAAACATTGATCGAGTGCCTGTTGATTATTAGTCCCAGTGATGGATACAGATGGAATCCTTGTTCTTAAGGGCTTCTGTTCTAATAGGGAGATATAGTCATGTGCTGTATAATGTTTCACCAACAATGGACCACACATATGACAGTGGTCCCATAAGAAAAATTTCTATGGCTTAGTGAAGTCTAAGCTGTTGTAACGTTATGGTTTGTGACACATTACTCATGTAACGTTTGTGGTGAATTTGGTGTAAACAAACATATTGCCAGTCACATGAAAGTATAGCACATAAAATTACAGAAGCAGGCTATACCATCTAGGTTTGTGTAAATATACTCTACGATGTTCAAACAATGATGAAGTCACCTAATGATGCATTTCTCAGATGTATCTTTAAGGGGCTGATGAATGTATAGGGCATAAAGAAGTAAATGAGCAGTATAATTTCAAGTAGTGAGAAGTATTACAGATAAAATGGACTGTGATTGAGAATACTTGGCGAAGTGCATGGTGAGGAGGTGACTTTTAAACTGAGATCTGAAAAACAAGATGGAACTTGCTAAGCAGTCGGGCAGCCCAATTAGCAAGTGCAAAAGCCCTGGGGTGAGAATGACTTAAGCATATTTAAGGAACAGAAAGGTTGGTGGGGCTGTGACTTGGTGGGTAAGAAGTTGAGTGGTTAGGGATGAAGGAGGAGAGATTGGCAAGGGCAGCTTCTGCATGGCTATTGGAGGGATTTGGGTTTCGCTGTAGTAGTAGGCAGTTGGTGGAGGCCTTGAAATGAAGAAAGAGATGACCAGATTTGCTTTTAAAAGATTGTTTTAGCTTCTCTGCAAAGAGCAAAATGTAGGGTGTCAAGGGTGGAAGCAGGGAGCTGGCTGGTATTCAGACAAGAAATTGTGGCTTGTATTGAGGTGGTAGCAGTGGCAGTGCAGAAGGGTGGACAGATTCAAGCCATATTTTACAGATAGACATATTGGTGTTTGCTGAGGGTTGTGTGAGGGGGCCGAGGGAAAGGAGAATAAGGCCATATATAGGATTGTGTGGAGGAGCCAGCGGGGTGAGGGGCGAAGCTCGAGTTCTGTTTTAGATATATTTGTGATGTCAGGTACCCAGATGGGCTGTTGGGAGATGGTGGGGTTCTGCAGGACTTAAACTTCTCCAATGGCCAGTTTCTTGTCCTATCGTAGCAAAAGCGCAAAGGTGTGGAAGGGCTTATTGACATCGAGAACCCCAACCGGGTGGCACAGACAACCAAAAAGGTCACACAACTGGACCTGGATGGGCCCAAGGAGCTTTCAAGGAGAGAACGGTAACCTGTGGGGGGCTGAGGTACCCATCTTCTCTGAGGCCCCTACCTCTGAGCCCCTCACTTCCTGGGCTCTGAGGTCCCCAGTGGCTGGGTGGGGGCTTCAGCTATGGTGTTGATTGGTTTCATTCCCCAAAGGCTCTGTAGAAGCTTCTCCAAAAAAAAAAGAACCAAAAAGAATGTTTTTATTCACCATTAGAAATATAGCAGGGAAAATAGAATAGATTCAGACCTGAGCATTGCACTCATAGTAATGCCCAGGGATAGACAGAGGGTTACGCTACAGTCCCTTCTCTCCGGAGCACCCACTCTAGAGACACTCCTTATCCAGCCTGATCACCATTCCTAACCTGAATCGATCCTGTAATGTTATGGCCATGGAGATTGGGAAGGGATTTTGGGCCTGTGGTGTTCAGGAGGCTGCACAGCGCAAGGAAGTCCACTGGTTGCCCCAGCCCCACCTCCCCCAAGTCCAGATGAAAATGGAGCTGCAGATAGCTTCCTCATAGGTTGTGTGAGGATCACTATCGAGTACCAAAGTGTCCTGCACATTTTCCACAAGTAGTGCCGTGACTTTTGATGGCCACCAGGTAACATAAAGGGCCTTATGAGAGATTGAAGGCTGCTAGGGAAAGCTGTCCTGGTTTCTCTCCTGACTGGGCTGCTAGGATTTAAATTGACTTTCCTGTGTTGGCCCCATGATGGCAAGCAGTCTGTGAAAACCCCACGGGAATGCTCATGAGCTTGGGGTTTTATTGGAGGCTGCGATGGACTCTCCCCTTCAGTAGCTTCCTTCTCACCAGTGGAGAGGGGATCCTGTTGCTACCCCTGCCATTTGAGGTTGCAGACTGAAAGCCATAAGGGTCCACACCCTGCTAACCTTCAGGCAGCCTTGGTTATTCCAGATGCTTCTGTCCAACCCCCCCTCCTTCCAGGGTGGGATCTACCAGGTTGACAGGTGTTCTCATCTCATCTCTGTAGCAGGTGTCTTGTCCAGAGTTTTCTGGGTGAGACATCTTCTCATTTGACTTTGTTGCTGGATTTCTCTTCCTCCCCTCTGGCCAGACTCTATGCCTCCTCATTACTCTCCATTCCTGTGTGTTATGAGGCCTCTAGGATGCCAAGTCCCTCCCACCCCTAAGCTTCTGACATGCAGGGCTCCTCTGACCCCTCTAAAACTTGGCTTTTCCAAACTTCGTATAAACAGGACTCTCTAATCTCACACCCTGAAGGGTGCCCACTCCAGTTTAGAATCTGAGGCTTGGGAAGATCCTCAAAGAGAAACTAATGACCCTCACCTCTCTACTTAGCGGGTTGTTGGCTGTCACCTTTGTCCTATGGGAATCCAGTTCTTATTTCCACACCACCATCCCTGGGGGCTCACCCCCTTGGGCGCAGCCTCATACACACCTGAGCTGTTCTGACAAAAATGTGCCATGTCAACCAGAGATTGGATGTGTCAGGTTCCCATCCGTGGCTACTTGGTCCACTCCTTTCTTCATTCCTTAATGTTTCTAGTGGCTTCCTTTTCTTGGTCGTCTTCTCTGGACACATGATTCACTTGGCTTTGGTCCCCTTTTCTCATTGCGGACACCAGACCCTAGTCAGCCAAACCCTGCCCACCCCATCACTGCGCCAGCCAGACATGATCCACTCTATGCTAAGGTTTTCCAAAGGTCACAGGTGCAAAGCTCACCTCCGTCCTGTTTTCCATCTGAGGGAGCTGAGGGCACTTGAACTTCCCCAGCCCTTTGAGCTTGTTGTGCAGAGATCTAGGCTATACCTCTGTATGCTTGTTTGGTGAGTGTCCATCAAGGATGGGGCACACAGAGCCAGGGCCCCTCCCTCAGCTAGGGTGCTCTCCTCCACTTGGGCCCCAGGCCTGAGTACTTGGCCTTTTTTCTGGCTCCTACATCCAGTTCAGCTGACAATGGTGGGGAAGATGTCCCCCGTGACACCATTTTATCCAAACAGAGAAGAAATTGAGAAGCAGAAAGCAAAAGAACGTTACATGAAAATGCATTTAGCTGGGAAGACTGAGCAAGCCAAGGCTGACCTTGCCCGACTGGCGATCATCCGGAAACAGCGGGAAGAGGCCGCCAGGAAGAAAGAAGAAGAGAGGAAAGGTAAGTCCTGAGCCCCTGGAGAACTGCCTGCTTCTGTGCACCGAACCTTACACTTCACTGCCTTTGTTGTGAAATGGGATGGGGTCAAATTGTTTGGTAGAGGCTCACCCTGCATGTGTGTGCACACATGCCTTCGTTACTGTCATGTGGAAGTGGGCATTCTTGCCCCTCCAACCCCCCAGGGTGTTGGGAGGGTCCAGCAGCAGCACCGAGTCAAATACAGGTTTGAGTCTTAGTAGAGCTTTGTCCATGGTGTCAGAGGAAGGCCTCAGGGATGCACCAGGGTCCCACCAAGGTCTCTGGTGCCTTGTGTGGCTGAGAGAGCTGCCTGGGGTCACCACTGTCTGTCTGAGGGGCTTGGGAAGGTGGGGCAGGGTGCAGACTCAGATGAAATCTGGCCCAGGTGTCCCTCTTTCCCCATGTTCTTCCCCCAGTGAGGCCAAGTAGGGTGGCTGTGGGAAGTTAGTCTGTTTTATAGGAGCGTGACTCATGTTCTTGTCTCCTGGTCTCATGCCCTTGTCTCATGTGGTCTCAGGACCACAGAGCCCCCTTAGGGATCCTGCTATCCTGCCTCCTCACCAAATAGCAAGGAAACTGAGGCCTAGAAATGGGAGACCAGTTGCCCAGGGGCATTCTCATCACACTGGAGATAACTGGTTATCCCAACTCGCCGCTAGCAGCTCTTGCTTCACAAACCCAAAGCAGGAAAGGACTTCCTGTGTAACTATTTGAACACAGTTGTTGGTTTTAGACTTCATAGAGGTTGCAATTAAGGGGTTCTGCCTGGAAGAGGGTGGGTAAGAAGAATTTCTATTTGCCCTATGGATTGCCTGTTGGTGGGCCTTTATGGAATGTGCCCAGACTCGACAAAAATGTCTAGACACCTGTGTCCAATGATGTTAGCAGAAATCTTGTCCCTTGGGAGGGCATCAGGCGGGCCCTTCTTGGAGCTCTTCATCTGCCCCCCCGAACCAGTTTTATAAAATGTTTTCTGAGGCCTTTCAGACCTATAGTTTTATGATTCTGGGATTGGGGTTGTATATATGGAGGGGTTTTAACTTTACCCTTTCCTTCCTTTCCCACCCTCAGCAAAAGATGACGCGACTTTGTCAGGAAAACGAATGCAGTCGCTTTCCCTGAATAAGTAGCATGGCCTGAGGGAGGAGATACCAGGGAACTGGGCCTTGTGGCCAGGACCACTGCCGTGTCTCACCCACACTGTGCCCTGGCGCCACTGCAGCAGCCCAAGACAAGTAGCCCCCCGACAGCCTGGGGCCTCCTCTTCATCTTGGCACAGAAATTGTTTGGTGGGCTAGGGGGAGGGGGCAGCTGCTGTCTTTGAGACACATTCAGGACAGCATTTCATTTGTAACCATTTGAATGTTTTTGCTGTTTTTAGAATTCAGAGCCCTTGGGGGTACTTGGGAGGTAGGTTAAGAAGAGCTTCTCTCTATCCAGTAGATTGCACGGTAGGGGGTGGTTGTGCTGGGGGCAGCTGCTGGCAAGTTTGCGACAACCACCCATCTTTGTTGCTTGGGTGCTCACTCAGAGAGGCTATTACCTGGGAGCCTGTGCCCTTGGTTCCTTGGGGGTCATGGCTCATCCATGGCCAGTCCCCTCTGACTGAAGCCTCTCCTCTGCCCTTCCCTGCCCCATTCCTACCCTTCTGGCCAGGACCTGTTCTTAACCCTACCCATTGATCATTTCAAGAAACCTGTTTACTGTGCAGCCCCCAGGCAAAACATGCTCCAAAAATCCAACTTGTATATTTGGCAGATTAAACTTGACATTATCGTAATCCTTGTTCCATGATCTATCTTTGGGCCCCTGGGCTGTTTTCACCCAGCAGGGCATGGTGTCACTCAAGGCATGCCTACCCCACAAGGTTCAGGTGGCACCGAGCAGGGTTTAGGACCTGACCCTGGGTATCCATACTGGAGAGAACATGGGAGCTGGCCTCCTCCCTTATTTTAACCAAATAGGGGTTTTAGGCCAGAGTGGCCAAGGACCTGTTCATGTCCACAGTAGGCTGAGAGTAGCACTGTGCCTCTCTTTCCTGTCCTCCGGGTGCCCCCCCTGTGGTTAACAGCCTCAAGATTTCAGTGCTGGGAGGAAGCATCCCAATAGTTGATACTCAGCATGACTACCAGGCATTATTACCTCATTTAGTCCTTACTACCCAGTGTGGTGGGAATGGCAACTGGGACACTGGGCTTAGCACAATCATGTGAGCTGCCTGCAGGCTCAGCTACAGCACCTGTTTTGTCCCTGCACCCCTTCTGTGAGAGACGCTCTGCCTCATGAACAGCGTCCTTTTTACAGGGTCCTGAGAAGTCAATGACTGGGTGCCAAGCTGGTTTGACCTAAGGTCAGAGGGATTTAGTGGCAGAGATGGAATCGAGCCCATGATTCCCAGTGATCTCTACCACACCTGGGCTTGACTGTGCTGGAGGTTAATAGTCCTGGGTGCCCCAGAGGGGATACCACAGCTGCCAGCACCTGCAGCTCACCCTGGCCTACAGAAAACCCTTCATTGTCTATGCTAAAGAGAAAAACCATGATGATATAAGTAGGTAACTAGAAAGTATGTGATAAACAAAAATAACCCTTTGAATAAAATGGGAATGGGGGGAAATTGTTTTAAATAATGAGCATTTATCAGAAACCAAGTCTAAATGTCAAGTACAAAAATATTAATTTTCCATTAAAGTCTAGAACCAGCCTGGAATGTACAACCACTTGTCTAGGAATCTGACTACTAAATGACAGGGAAGATACCTGGTCCTGTAGCCCCCAGGCTGGACTGCAGTGGGGAAAGAACCATTTGGGGGAAGGCCCTTGGGTTTAAGGATCAGTTTTGCTAGCAAGCAAAAATAAGCTACCTACGCCTGTGTAAAACCTCTCCTTCCAAACACAGGCAAGCATGTCTCCAATTGTATTTTTATTACAAGTTTCAAAACAGTTCATGACCAACAGAGTGCTTTTGAGATTTTTTTTTTTTTTTTTTACAATAAAAGTATTTCTTCAAGAAAAAGGCATATGTTCCTTCGAATAGGTAAGAAAAGCTTCCTACCCCTCCCCCCCTCCCTGTGGGGACCAAAACAGGTACCCCAGAAACATTTGGCAAAGTAAGACTTAGCCTCCCTGACCCCTCCCTCAGCAGCTAGGATGAGGCCAACATTCTCACAAGATCTCATTTGATCTTGAGGTCCTTCAAGGCTGATTCCAAGCTCTGGAAGGAAAAGAGCAGAACAGGCTGGTTCTCAGCTGTCCTGCACATACCCACCCACAGTGACCTGGCCCACACTTATCCCAGCCCCAGCTAGGCAGAGGACAGAGAACTTGGTCTTTGGCAGAGAACTTGGTCTTGGTCTGGCTGACCAGGGTTTGAATCCCAGCCCTAAAAGGGAGGTGCCCCAGAATATACTGAGGCCCATATGTCAAGGGGCTGCCTCATTCCCCCACCTCATCCCAACAAAGTGCCTTCCTCCTTCAATGAATGAAAACAACATCCAGGGTGGCTGTCAGAACAGCAGGGAGGGAGGGCCCCTGAGGGTCTGGCAGGAAGCTAGGTGGGGCAAGGCTCACCTTCACATCCCAGATGCTCATGCCGCCATCCATGCCGGTAGTACAGAACTGCAGGCATTTGGCCTTACCCCCACTGAGCACCGAGATCTGGCTGCAGAGAGGATGAGGGTTTTACGGATCCCAGCCTGTGCCTATGCTGGACTCAAGACTACCCTACCCCCCAGGAGTTCCTGGGGGCACCAGCACAGTGAGAAGTGCTAGGGTGTGCCTCGCAGGCTATGTGGGACCACAAGATGGGGCTCAGGAGACTGCTTTAGGGACAGCGGTACTGTGTGAGGTGCAAAGGGCAGCCCAGGCAACTGGAACAAGACAAAGACCCAGGCAGGATGTGAAGGACATGTGTCTGGGGAATTTGTGTAGTGACAATAGGGTGGCAGAATGGATAAAAAGGAAGATGGGGCTGGGAGGATGTAAGGCGAGTTCTGAAGAGCCTTGAAAACTGGGCAAAGGTGTCTGATCCGAAGACAACACTGTACTGGGTGGCCACAGGCGGGTTTAACCAACCAGCTCTATCAGAAAGTCTTGCTACATTCTGTTAGCCTCTGGGTGGACACCTGTAGCTGGTAGGATTTGGGAGTTTTGGAGGGTCTCCCCCTAGTCCCAACCTAGTTCCTCAAGGAGGCTGCAGCAGGACCCCTAGTTCTGCCTTCACCTCACCAGTTTCTAGCACTAGCCATAAGCCAGCTAAGGTTACTGCCTGGCCACCCTAGAGAACTGCAGGCTCCCACCGCTACAACAGCCCTCGCATGACCATGTCCTAGAAATGCAGAGCGAGGCTGACAGCTCTGCTCCAACATAATGCTATTTTTGTACAACCTGAAGAGATCGACGGGGCTCCCTCAAACAGGCTCGCACCTACATGCTCCTGGGATGAGTCCAGATCGCGCACTCCCAGGCCCCGTCCCGCCCCTCTGGCCCCGCCCACACCTGCCTCCTTTCTCAGGCATAAAGACCAGGCCCCGCCCCAGGCCCGGCTCCCACTCCAGGCCCCCCTCACCTGACGCTGTTCTTGTGCAGTGAGTCTAGGCCCGCCCCGCTGGCCACGCCGCCCTCGGAGCTCGCCTTCTTGTCGAGGTTCTGGAAGCGCTCGCGGGCCGTAAGGCCGCGCTGAGAGCTTTGCTTGGGCACGTCCAGCCGCCCACCGAAGCTCAGCGTCCCCGCGGCGCTGTCGTAGGTAAAAAGCACCGGGAAGCAGTCGTGGCCCTGTGGTGGGACAGGGTTGCTCTTTGAGCGCTGGCCGAGGGCAGGCGCAGTGCCCCTATTTTCCACACGGGGAAACTGAGGCGGCAATCAAGGCGTGATTCAGAGGGAACTTGGGCCACGAGTGTGGAGCCCAGGAGGCTGGATGCAGGACTGGAGCTATCGAGAAGCTGAATGCAGCGTGCGGACACAGCCAGGCCCGACCCAGGTAAACTGACCGGATGTTGGGGGTGCGCATATAGGGGCAGCCCGCACCCCATCAAGGCTAGCGTCTAGATGAGAAGCTTGTCTGAGATTCCTCTGGGAGCCCAGGGGCCTTATTCCTGCCCAGCCTGTTACACTTGTTTTAGGCCTGATCCCTCTCTGGGACCCCCATTATGTTGCTGAGGGGTGAAAGGGTCTTGACAGATAGGTGGACAAAGGGAGGAAGGGAGAGTAATAGTACCCTTCTGGACACATGGTAGAACTGCACTGCCTGCCTCACCTCCCCCATCTACTCTGAGGTAGGTGTGGCTTTGTCATTTCCACTGGCCAATAAAATAAGCAGAAATATTAGGATCCAGGGCATGAATTTTCACTTCCCACATCTCCCTTCATGGCAGTTGGGGAGCATGTCGGTGACAAAGCCTCCATATGCACTGAGCAGAGCGCCCCTCACAATACTCATGCTGGATATATAAAGTGAGTGAGAAATATTTATTGTGTTAAGCCACTGTAGTTGAGGACTTTTTTTTGTTACTGCAGCATAATCCCACCTATTCTAATCCATACAGATATATGGATGCATAGATGGGTGAGTGAGATGGAGGGAGGAGAGGGGAGGGGAGAAGAGGGGAGGGAACGGGAGGGGAGCGGAGAACAAGTGGAGAGCTTCCTGGGCATCTCTGGGCTTCCTGGGAGACCTGCTCTAATGGGCCAGTGCTCCCCTCCTTCCCTCCATCCTTACCGCAGCCACCAGACTGTTTTCTGTGATGAAGGTCAGGGCCAGCAGCGGCAGTGTTTCAGAGGCCAGAGTCGCGACACTGAGTGAGAAAGAGATATCAGCCACACTGGTCCCCTCCTGCTCTATGCCTTGGTTTCCCCTTCATGTAGCCTATACTCACGCCATCTTCTTGTCGGCATCGGCCAGGCACACAGTACTGTCATGGCTGACCCAGGCCACACGGCTACCACTGGCTGAAAAGCAGACACCATGCACCCAGCCACAGCTACTGCTGGACTCAAACATCAACTCCCCAAAGGGCATCTTGGAGCCCCATGGGGTGGGTGCTGGTCGTTCTTCCACCTCCTTGATGTAGGCTGAGAAGATCCTGCCCATAGAGGCAAAAAAAAAAAAAAAAAAGACTGAGGGACTGAGAGAGGCCCCAACGACGAGGGATTCCCTCTTTCAGACCAGCCTGGTGAGGTCAAAGCACCCAGCTAGGAGCTCATGGTACCAGAACCAGCTTTTCATGACTGGAATCTTCATGCTCGGAAAAGTCTAGGCCTCAGTGCCCTCTTTGTGTAATGGAATGGGGCCAGGAGGTCTCCCAGCTCAGAGTCCTGTGAACTCCCAGGGTCCTTGGCACCCTCATCTGTGGACTTACCATTCATAGATGATGAAGCTGCCAGGAGGTGTCTTGGTCCTCATCATGCTGGCCACTACACTCTATAGCCAGCCCTTAGGATGTCCCTCCTCTCTCCTGCTCTGCACCTTGAACTAATTCTGCCCCTCGTCCTGGCAGCTCTACCCTGCACACTGCTGTTCTCACATTCATTAACCCTCTTCTCTCCAACCCAGGGCCATAAAGGGGTCACCTAACAGATAAGGATGCCAAGAAACCAGCTCTTCACCCACCAACAGAGCCTCATCAGGACATCATTCTCCCTAGCCCAGGGCCTCTAAAGGGGCTTCCAGAGTCTAGGATAGCCTCATTTCCCAGGTGGAGATTAAGAGACCCAGGAAAGCTGAGCCCCCAAGTAAAAAACAGCCAATGGCTACTGGAGACTACATTCTAGACCTTAAGATAA